ACTCTTTCCTATCCTCCCTAGCATGAACAATATAGCCAAGACAAATAATGTACCACTGTGTTGAGCTGCCATAACATTCCTTAGAAATGTAATGGATATGATTAATTTTGCTTGAACAAGCAAGTACAATTACTAGTACACTGGGGCTAGCTATATTTGTGTACTATTACAAAACACTACTGGTAAATATTTATAAGTGTGTCAGGAACTTGCAACACAATTGTCTAAAGGCTGTAAAACTAATATGTGTAGGAAATCTGGAATGGAACTCCATTCTAGACATCTGCTCTCCAAAATCTTATCTCTTTCTGTTTATCTTTGCAGGTATGTTGCCAGTTGGATAGAAACAAGAAGTCATCAATCTGAGAAAGCTAATTTGACTATTCTTTTTGATAAATATGTGGTTCCCTGCTTGGATCATCTCAGAACAAGTTTTAAAATGATCACCCATATTCCTGAGAATAGTATGGTGCAGGTTTGCATTAGAATTGTATTATATTTACTGACCTGTATTTTAGATAACAAAGTTTCTGAAATCTATAGGCTTATTTTCAGCACAAGTGAAAGTAAGCTGTGAAAATAGGTGCATCTGAAAAGTATGTAAGGTTATTGGAGGATCAGATAAAAATCTCAGAAAGAGAAAAAATTCATGTTGTTGATGTTCAGCAAAACAGGTGCTGAGGTGCACAGTTGACAACCTAGACATCACAAGTTTGAGGCCATAGCAGAAGTGATAAGGTGTGGCCTGTCAGATTCCAATGGATCTGTGAATTCTGCTCAATGCTTTTGTCACAAGGACATGAAAAAGGAAAGGAATAACTAAAACTTTGATGCCAGTTATTGAAAGATAGAGAAGATTAAAGCTGAAGATTGCAATAGCCTTTTTTCTCTGCTGAACATTTTTCATCAAAACCCAGAGTCCTTGACACACTAAATGATTATGTTCATGCTCATTTTTATTTGTGCGAATAATTGTCTTAATTACTTCAAATGTCTGTCATCAGTGCCTCACTAAAGCAGGATTTATGTGGGGAAAAATGTGATCCACTAATTCAAGGTTGCATCCCAGAATACATACATTCATTTTAAAATTTTTTGAATTAGAGTGCATCACTGTAAGTAGAGTTGATTGGAGAAACTTCTGGTGCCATCATGTTTTAATTAAATGCTTTAGGAAATTGGGTCAGTTTTACCAAAATTTCATTTCAGAAGAAAACTCTGGAATACCAGGTGGAGGTAAAGTCCTCAAGATTTCCTCCTACACCCTGAAGAAATTGTAGACAATACTGAAACATGCCAAGGGCCTTGCAGTCTGATGATTATTTAAATCTTGACTGTGCTTAATTTTTTATAACCACTAGAGTCACTGTCACCAACTCAAGAAGTGAGAATCCCAAAATCACTTTCTTTACTCCTGTTTATTTCTTATGTATTACAGACTCTCTGCTCTCTGTTGGATTGTTTGCTGACCCCTGAAAATGTTCCTCTTGACTGCCCAAGAGAGCTTTATGAAATCTATTTTGTTTTTGCATGTATTTGGTCATTTGGTGGTGCACTTTTTCAAGACCAGGTATGCTAGATAATACTGTAATAGCCAAATCATTTTGTGATGCATTGGTAATGTTGATTAAACTAGGGCTGAATTGTGATTCTTCAGCCAAAAGGGCTATGCAGAGCTATGCTGCCCTGAGTCTAGCAGCCTAGGTGTGGTAGGATGGAGCTCTCCCTGAGCTAATTTTTACATCTGAGGAACATTGTCTATATGAGAAAATCCCATCAATTATATGTATGTAGCTATATTAAATTCCTGGCAAAATGTTTAAAAAGCTTAGCTAAAAAAAGAAAATTACCCCACAACAAGTGCATCTAAATAGAGGTTTATGGCTCGACCTGTCCAAATTCATGCGCTGTGATAGAAGCCGGACGCGAGGGGATCGCCTTCAGACCTCAGGTTGGGGAGGACCGGGTTAGAGAGCTTCTGGAGGGGCTGGACGCGTTCAAGTCAGCAGGTCCGGATGCTCTCCACCCCAGGGTGCTGAGGGAGCTAGCTGGGGTTATTGCAGGGCCCCTGGCACGGCTCTACGAGCGATCGTGGTGCTTGGGCCAGGTGCCAGACGATTGGAAGGTAGTTAATGTGGTCCCCATCTTCAAGAAAGGGAAAAGGGAGAACCCGGGCAACTATAGGCCCGTCAGTCTCACCTCAATCCTGGGGAAACTCTTTGAGAAGATCATCAAGGAGCACATTTGTGATGGGCCGGCATCAGAAATGATGCTCAGGGGCAATCAGCATGGATTTATTAGGGGGAGATCATGTCAGACCAACCTGATTGCCTTTTATGATCAGGTCACAAAGGCCATGGACGCAGGTGTCGCGGTGGATGTAGTCTTTCTGGACTTCAGCAAGGCCTTTGACACCGTCTCTCACCCCATCCTAATTAATAAACTAGGCGACTGTGGCATAGATGCCACAGTCAGATGGATTGCAGATTGGCTGAAGGGTCGCACTCAGAGGGTGGTGGTGGATGGATCATACTCGACTTGGGGGGAGGTGGGTAGTGGAGTCCCCCAGGGCTCGGTCCTGGGGCCTGCGCTGTTCAATTTCTTCATCAGCGATCTTGATGTTGGGGTGGAAAGCAACCTGTTTAAATTCGCTGATGACACCAAAATTTGGGGGGAGGTGAGCACGCTAGCAGGGAGAGAGAGATTGCAGAAGGATCTGGATAGGTTACAGGGGTGGGCAAACAGGAACAGGATGTGTTTCAATACGGACAAGTGCAGGGTGCTGCACTTGGGTAGTAGGAACCAGCAGCACACTTATACAATGGGGAACTCCCTACTTGAGAGCACGGAGGCGGAAAGGGATCTTGGTGTCATTATTGACTCCAAGATGAACATGGGCCGACAATGCGAGGTCATGGTTGGCAGGGCTAACCGGACCTTGTCGTGCATCCACAGGTGCATCTCGAGTAGAGCCAGGGAGGTGATCCTCCCCCTCTATGCGACGCTGGTCAGGCCGCAGCTGGAGTATTGTGTCCAGTTCTGTGCGCCCCATTTCAGGAGGGATGTGGACAACATGGAGAGGGTCCAGAGGAGGGCCACCCGCATGATCCGGGGACAACAGGGCAGACCCTACAGTGAGAGACTGCGGGACCTGAACCTATTCAGCCTCCACAAGAGAAGGCTGAGGGGGGACCTGGTGACCGTCTATAAACTCACTAGGGGGAACCAGAAGGGTTTGGGGGAGACGCTGTTTCCCCTAGCCCCCGCTGGCATAACAAGGAGTAATGGGCACAAGTTGATGGAGAGGAGGTACAGATTGGACATCCGAAAAAACGTTTTTTTGTTTAGGGTTCTTTTGTTGTTCTCCCGCCCTGGCGGGGGGTCGGGCTAGAAGATCTATTAGGTCCCTTCCGACCCTAAAACTATGAAACTATGTTTTAAGTTGCACTAAATTAACTCCTGTATAGACAGCTTTGAAGTGTTTAAATAAATGCCCAATATGCAGTGGCTAGGAATGTTCTGTCAAATAACATCCTTAAAATCATTGATAGATTTCTCTGCTGGCACCATATTAATGCAGATAAGGGGTAGCCTGCAGGGCTTTGTGATAAGGTTTAGACACAGACCCAAAACAGGTATAAAAGGGCTAATGTAGAAATAGGAAATGGCACTGATAGAGTTGGTTGCTGCTGTTTATCAAGGCTGTCTCATTGGAAACCTGGGCAGATATTCAACCTAGAAGAATAGACTGACCACAGCAACTAGATGGGTATTTAGATTATTTAAGTGTTTTTTCTGCTTTCCACCTGAAAAGAAGTGCAGCAAGGGCTTGGTTGAAGCAAGCCAGCCTTGTGATCTCACCACTGTATAAATTTGTGCTGGGCTGAACAGTGGCTTGAGTTTAATCTGAGTTAGATCTAATTTGGCCTCTTGAGCATTAGTTGTTCCAATCAAGAAGGCCCACTTGCTGTCAGTTTGATACAGTTTCGGTAACCTTGATTCCTGGAAATTGTATCACAGTATTATAAACTGCCTTCAAGTTTTGTACGCTTCTGCTTGACACAGAACTTCTGTTTGAGTCTTTATTTCATGCATACATATTTACATGTGTAAGAATGTCATACTGAATGCATAACATAGTGGAGTAGAAGAGTTTAAACAGTGAAATAACATTTAATATTTTATAGCTTTCCAATTATCAAGCAGAATTTAGCCGCTGGTGGCTCAAGGAGATGAAAGCAATAAAATTTCCATCCCAGGGTACAATTTTTGATTATTATCTTGACCCCAAGACCAAGAAATTCTTGCCATGGACTGATAAAATTCCAAAATTTGAAATGGATCCAGACACACCTTTACAGGTACAATATCTTTGTGTTACAGGCTTTTATAATTTGGGGCTTTAGTTTTTTCATGGTTTCTGTTATTCTTTTAACTAAATGAAAATAATATTATTCAAATATAATCATTTAGGGAGATCTTTCTTATTGAGTCTTTATTCCTGTAGTTTTGGATGCTGGGGACAATGAAAAGAACACTTTGTACTTTTCTGGCCCTTGTCATTGTAAAAGTACTGCACAAATGCACATTCATCTTCCTAGTACCCTCTAAAGTTTGAAAGTGATTATGAACTTCATTTTATAGATAAGGAAGCTGACCCTTCAAGACAATCAAATTATTGAATGTTCATGGTAAAAGTAGATTCCTAACTGCTGTATATCATAAATTGTATAACACAACCTTACCCTCCCCTCGCTCTCAACCTACACACAGGCCCTGGACAGATATAACATTTGAAGTGCTTCACATGCTTTTGAAACACTTAAAGGATGAGTGTACAAATGCACATCCCTTCATGAATCCCTTGAAAAATTGCCAAAGCAGTCCCAACTGGCCCTGTATGAAACAGAAACTATTCTGAAATGCTTCCCATTATATCTACGTACTCTATGAACAGCAACAGAGGGTTGTTCAGTCCTCTGGCATCCTACAGTTCTCCACTCAAATTCCAACTCCCTTTCCTTCCCCCAAGGAGGGAGAAAGTGAGGTGGACAGCCAGTGAGCGCTTTCCTGTGTGCTCGACCATCGCTAGAACTTGAGAACAAAGATCCCTGCATGCCTCTTTCTCTAGTCTCCCAGTTCCATTGGGAGACCTCTAAGCCATCCTTGACAATTCAATCTCCAGAACCTGAGGGTCATGCAAGGAATTATCCCTTCCAGCCTCAGGATTGGAAAAAACAATTCCTTCCCTGGTTTTCTGCCTCTAGAACTGGGAGACAGGAAGACAAGTGCACAGGCAATCACTCATTGGCTGTTTGCTCCATTCTTGCCCTCCCATGGCAGGGTATGGGGGGATTGGAGTCACAGGACGGAGAAACACCACATATCATGTCTCTTGGCTGAAGAGCATACTGTTACATATATATCTTCCCAGTGATATTGAAATGCTCTTGGGGTGGGCACAGTAGGGGTCTGTACTTCTGTCTACAGCTGAAGTGTTCCATTTTTGAAGAACTTTGAAAAGGTGAAACATTTGTAGCACTTCCAATGTTACATCTATCCAGGGTCGTATTCTTTCATTTACTAATTCTTTCCATATTACAGCTAAGGATTTTCATTGTTCTGGGAGAGAGCAGTTTCATTAAGAGTATAATAGAAAGCTGGAATTCCTGTAAGACAAGGGTTAAAGTTATAGTGTGCTGGTATATGCAATAGTGGTAGCCTGAGTACCCATGAGCGGAGGAGCGCAAAGTTTTACTAGTTGTCTTAAGAACATTTTTTAAATATTTTGTATTTTTGTATAAGTTATATGGGTAGCATTCTCCTAACACTTAGATTGGGGGTGTGTGTGGGGGCGGGGGGTGTGTATTAAGTTTCTGAGGGGTTGGATCTTAAACAAAAGGAGAGATTTTCTTGGTGTGGATATGTGGGGAGGTTGAAATACGTATCTACTGATGCAAAATATTTTATCTGTTAGCAGCCTATTTGCCAAACTGTTTCATTGCAGGAGAAATTCTGAAAGGAAATTCGACAATAAACTACATAGAAAATGTAAAGAGCATAGCAGTTAACCTTCTGTGGACCAATAGTCCACTTGTATTTTGAGAAAAAGAGAAATTTATATCCCATTTAACTCATTTTAGAATTGAGTTAAATGGGTATATCCATACCTATCTATCAGGTGCGTGCGTGTGTGCACGCGCACACACACACACACACACACACACACACACACACACACAAAATCCTGGGGGAGGGTGTATCTGATAGATAGGTATGGATATAAAAACATTATCCTAACATATTTTTTAAAACTGAAAGATTACTTAAATGTCATATTAAGATAAAGTTAGAGTAAGAATTAGAATTGTCACTACTTTTTCTTTTGATGTTTTAGGCAGTCCTTGTTCATACATCTGAGACCGCATGTCTGAAATACTTTATTGATTTGCTTTTGGAGAAAGGCAAACCAGTGATGCTTGTTGGAAATGCTGGAGTAGGAAAAACAGTATTTGTAAGGGACAGACTTGCTGCTCTCTCAGATGATTATGTAGTGTCTAACATTCCCTTCAACTATTATACTACATCAGCAGTGCTACAAAGTAAGTTCTACATCAGTGTCCAAATGGAACAAATCTGGGTAATAATGCCTTTGGTGACGGATCTAAATTGATCTAGGAGTGCCTATGCAACTAAGATTCCAAATACCTACAGTTGCCCGGTTGGTACAACATATCTATTTTTTCTACCTTGCATGTTCCTTGTAACCTATGTATGTATTACATGGTAAGTGATAAAAGTTTAGAACATATAAATAAAGTAATGTTACTTAGATCCTTAGAAGGCATCATTGAAATGAACCACTTCAAGTAGTTACTAATTAAAATTATTATTCCAGAGAACAGAGGTTTTCTGAACAATCAGTTCTCACTTCTACAGTTTGAGAGAGGATAACATTTTTGGTGGAACATTTTTTAGGAAGTAATCTCCTTTGAAGTTACCTAAAGTTATTATTGGGTAACATACAATGAACTCTACGTGGGGAAAAGAGGGAATAAGAAAAAAATACTCCAGGGAAAAAGATTAAAACGTAGTTTTACTTCCTACAATTCTAAATGGTATTGTGAGCTGAAGCTTTAGCAGTACTCTGCTTTTTGGCAATAATCCTACAATTGCTACTCATGTTTAGCATGAGAGCTGGCAGGGAGCAACCCTCCCAGGCTTGGGAGTACATCAGAGCCTTGAAGGGCTCTGGTACTCTTCTGTGGCTGGGAGTGCAGATCAGCTGATCAGCACGCCCAGCACAGGAGCACATCAGTGCCCTTCATTCTGGTGTACTCCCGTGGCTGGGAGCACCAGACAGCTGACCGATGCTATGAGCCACAGGTGCACCAGGCACCCTGCTTGCTACTTGCTGGTGCAGGGAGAGCTTAGGCATGTGAGAGTACAATTAGGATTGGATCTCCATCCCACAATCACACCTTCTGCCACGAATGTATGACTTGGCAGGAGACATGATTGTTGGGATTGTGGATCAGATTCCATAGTGCCTTTAATTGAACACCTGCCAGCAGCTACAGAAAATTCTTTAAAATTAAGGAGTTAGTAGGTATAAATTTCAAAAGAACCTATAGCCCATTGACCTTCAGTGGACCACTCACTTAACAGACTTTTGAAAGTTTTACTTACAGCTGTTACTGCTAATGGGCCAGGCCATCTCTCAATGTGTATTTTTTCTTACAGGTTTTAGCCAGGCCTTTTCTTACCTTCAGTTGATTAATTATCCTCAGTACAGACAAAACAAATGTATTATTTTCAGTTAACTTGATGCCTTACTTTTCTTTGAAGTATTTCCTGATGCAAATTAATGTAGAACCCCAGGATAAATGTAGTATCTTTTTTTCAAAGAGCAGTATGGAGAGATTATTTGTTGGTGACGGTGTCCATTTGTTTTCTTTTCCTTCCCTACACGATTGTGTGAATTGTCATGGCTCCATATTTCTGCTGTACTTTTGTCTCACTGGGATTTGTTTTGTTAGTAGTTGCCATTCCAGTAGCAAACCATGAACAAGGTACTAAGGCACACATAAGCATAATGCTCTCCATTGTAAAGAGATTCAGCTGAAAGGAACTCCTAGGCAACTGCTGCTGAAGGCTATGTATTCTTTGCACTGGAAACTTCTTAAGTAAACCAAATGCTTAAAGTCAACACTACAAGGGTTTACTTTGTGAATTCCCAACAGCTGCCAACAGTACTACAGCAGTAAAAGACTGCATGAATAGGTGTTATCATTAAATTAAAACTCTAGACTGCGTAAACTTAAAAAACCTGGCCATATTAGGAAATGTTCATAATACATTTTGCAAATGTTTTGAGAAATTTGAATAACTGTTTTAATACAGCCATTACTCTTTTTAGGAAATCTAAAAGCCTGTAAAATAAATAAACTAACACCTCCAGTGCATGCTGACAGCTCTTCAGTCCAGTCATAGTTCTAAAGTCAAGTACCTCTCATTAAAAATGCTCTGCAAGCATGACCCTTACAAATAAGTCAGGGGATGATCAACTGAAGTCTCTCAACTGATCTCCATTGAATAACTAGTTCTTTGTTAAGTATGGAAACAAATTTACCATCTTTACTTCCAGCAGTGGGTATATACATCCTTGTGGCCAGCCATGACATGATTTCGATTCTCTCATCCACACCCCTAGCATTACTCCATATTGCCAACTGCTGTTATTTCTGGTCTTGCTTTCCAGCAGTAATATTTCCGCTGCAGTACATCAAAAGGATATGCTCTCTTTCAGTGGGGACTGACCTTTTTGGCATGTGTGCCTCATATTCGCCCTATACCATCCCGCCCCCGCACAGAATGGTACTCCAATCCCCTTCCTCTGCCCAATTTGCTGCTTTGATTTCTGCTTCCTGCGCTATGCTCCTTGCCTGATCTCCTGCTCCGTCTCCTGCTTCCTGCCCTATCTACTGGTGTGCTGCCTGTCCCCTTCCTGATCTGCGACTTGCTACACATAGGGGCAGTGGCACTTATGCCACAGGTTGGCCTGCTCTGTCCTAGCTCATTCCATAACTGTTCTATGTTGTTGCAAACAGTTAGTCATTGCATTAACCGTACAATTATTGGACAGCAAGATTTTCAAAACTTCTTAGAATTATAGCGGCTTCTCTTAATTTAAATTGGAACTGGATATCTAAATTGTTTAGGGATCTTGGAAAAGACCTCAGCTCAGAGAAATGTGCTTTGAGCATATTGGAAAATATTTTATTAAAATACATGTTGTTGTTGTTAGTAGTAATAGTTTTAGATAATAGCATACTATTATCACTGTATTATAATAAAATATTGTGACATCATTAATATTATTGTTGATATCATTATATTGATGATGATGAGAATAATGATGATAAACAATGGTTTTTTCTTATCTTTTTAAAATGATTTGCAAACACTGTCTAGCTATCCCTTATGATAAAGTAGGTGAAGCACATAACATTAGTGATGAAATATTTCAATAGAAAGTGATGCAGCCAGTTAATTACTCTTCATAACTAAACATTCAGATTTAAGGACTTGCCTTGTCATCAGTATACTCTACTTCCTTTGCTGGCTGTTTTACTAAAAAATGCTACAGTACTGTCTGCATATAGTAAAACTTCACATAGACTATTTGGGTATGGGAGAATGATGAGTGCTGACAGATGTGGAAAAAAATTCACTTTACTAGAATCACCTGCATATTAGTTTGACCTGGCTCTACAGCATCTTTATAGATCAAGCACTTCAGCAGGGATTTTTGGTGCTTTTTGTCTAAAGCTGATTCAATCAGCTATTAGATAAATGCTCCAAAAAAGCCCCGCTAAAGCACCCATTTTATACAAATGTTGGGAAAGCCGGGTGTAACTAATGCACTGCTTCTTCTGGGATTGCACTGGGTTCGATGTGGGAATGCACCGAGTTTAAAGTAAAAGACTGGTTTTTTTTGTTCTTTTTTTGTGGGGGGTGTCTCCACGTCTGCAGGCAAACAATGATTTTATTATTCGGCTTCATGTTCTTTAGTGGGGAGGTTGCTTCCCTGATTATATTTGCCTGATTACATTTTCAGGAGAGCTTCTGGATTAAATTTGTCTTTCATCTTGTACGCATTCAAAAATGTTGAAATCACTGTTTAACATCTCCAAGGGAAAGAAAGAGCCAATATGCTATGGGAGTAGCTAAATTGCTGTCTGTACCGATTTATTAACACATTCTGCTGTATTTGTAAGAGATGCCTCTATGACTACATTACAAATTTAGTATACGAAGAAATGTTTTAAAAGCTTATTTTTAAAGAGCTCATTTTATCATGTGAAAAAAATCCAAACTGTTCAGGAGTACATGCCCTAATTCCTTGCAAAGCTTACTATAGTCTTAGTGAGTCTTGCTCAAATTAGGTAATTACCTTAGTTTTATAAACTCACTCTGATGTAAAATGTATTAAAGAATGGCCCACACCACACATTATTTAGATTTTATTTTAAAATGTAATTGTGTAAATTATTTATATAGCTGCTTATGTATAATTTAGGTAGATGAATTATCAGGTTTTTCTGCCTTGCACAAAGTTGTCTGTGATCTCCTTTACTTAGGGTATGTCTCTATTGCATCTTGGAGGATGGAGGGTTAAATGACAAGAAAATTTATGCAAGTTAGGTAGTTTCCAGTTCATAGATATGAGAAGGAAGTTGGTAGAAGAGTCAGGAGATACAGGTACAAGGAGTTGTTGGAATCATAGTGGTGAACTAAAGACCAGGAACCCTCAATTTGACTACATTGGGTCAGGAGTTAGTCACAACAACATGCACACTGTCCCATACTTGCATATTAGCTTGGGTTCAGTGAACCCTTAAGCATGTATTTAATGCTTTAAGTGTAGTTTGTATGAGGTTTTGGGCAACAGTACTTGGCACAGTAGACAAAGGGCCTGCAGGTAGATGTATCCGTCATCTGATTATTTGCAATAGGTATTTAGTCAGCTTTCATTGTTTTCTACTGCACTGGCTTAGCAACAGTAGGTTTGTATTGCATATTTAATTTTAGCAGGCTTCAGACATGGTTACAGAGGAAGAAAAATAACAGTTTATATTCCTATAGTGCTTTCAGTCAGAGGATCATAACACATTAATATATTAAATGTATTAAGCTTCAAAGATGAATGATGCTGCTTTTGAGTAAAAAGATGCAGAGTATATCCCCTGTTTAAAGATGAAATAGAACTGTCACATCCTGGATTCATTTATCAGCTAGTTTCTCCCTCCCTCTCTGATTTTTAGTTTTGGTTTAATATTTCTGTCAACTTTTATCTTCTTTCCGGTTAACTTTCTGGAAAGGTCAGGCTAGCTTTTATGTCCTGGTCTCAAAATGTGATGTGCATAATTGGACTTCTTGTCAGGAGTCAGGGCAGCAGGCAGGCTAAATTACCCCCAGTTGGCCTGGCTGCTTATGGCCTAACTACCGCCAGTTGTCTGTATGGGTGTGGACTGCCTGCTTATAAACTTCAGCTCAGTGCCTAGGGCTAGGGACAGAAGTTACACACAAAGCAGTTTAAGTCATCAGAAACTGGTTTAAACCTGTAACAGAACACAAGCTCAGTGCATAGAAACCAGTTTCAAAATAGCTGAAACTGGTTTAAGATAAACCTGGTTGAATGTAGTATCAGATGTAACTGATTTGGGTCCACCCGGTTTATGAAACTTCTGTCCCATACCCCTTCCTTGTTTAAGTTAAATCAAAGTCCTGCAGCATCCCAGCATGCTTCCCAGCCCGGTTCTAGGCTGTACTATCTGCTCCAGCAGAGAAGGGTTGGTGGGGGGGCCAAGGAGGGGGGTAAAACCCACCTTCCCCCTACTGCTAAACTTACTGAAACTTACTATTGGCTGTGACTGTGGCCTACAAATCCCAGAGGCACCTGGAAATAGGAAGAGGAAAAGTTGAGCAACCCTGGAGAGTCCTGCTGCTGTGATTCTGGACTGCAAATTCCAGAGACCTCAGGGGCAGCAGCAAGAGGAAGCAAACCTACCATCAATGCTGGTTACAGGCATGCTCTAGCACCCCATGGCTTCTGGCCTGAGCTACTGTAGGCATGTGGCTGTATTTCCTGAATCAGAACTAAATGTGTGTTCAGTTGTTTCTCAGTTTAGTCTCCGCAGTTTAGACTAACCTACAAAGGCTGAATCGATTCAGCCTTGGGCTTTTTACCGTGTGTACTTAGCCTAGGAGGCTACACAGGACAAATACCTCATTGTCTAATCTTGGGTTTCTGACTCCTTTTTCCTAGTTTCTTACCTGTTGATTCCTAGTTTCCCAGTTCCTGGTTCCTGCCTATTTGTTCTTAGTTCCCTGGATCCTGTTTGTTGGTTATTAAGTTTCTGTTCACTGGGTCCTGCTTGTTGCTTCCTTGCTTCTGGTTTTAACCTGTTGCTTCCTTGTTCCAGACTCCAACTTGGACCCCTTTGTTTCCAGACTGCCTTGCTGACTCCTGACCTTGCTGACAGACTTCAATCCAGACCCCTAACATTTGACAAACAGTTCCTGCTTAGTTTGGCAGTCACTCCCATTCTATTCCTCTACAGCTACAGCTGCCTGCTCCAGACCTTCTGGCTAGTGACTCCAATCCAGTTCCCTGCCTCCAGTTCCTGACCCCCTGGTTTGTGGTTTTACTGAAGGTGACTATCTACATTTCAGTCCCTTAAAGACCTCAGCCACCTTACCCTCCTGATCTCCTGACCTGTTGGGACCCTTGTTTCCTGACCGTGTCTGCTTCTGCTCGGTCCTCTGGACTGTAACCTTATTGGCCCAAGCCCTAATCACCTACATCCCAGTCACACCTTTGACACTTCTGTAACTCAGTTCCCTAAACACAGGTGAAGAAGTCTGTCCTAGCGCATCGTTTCTTATGATTGAAATCTAAGGATCACATCTTACAAGTACAGTAGAACACTGAGCAGTTACACTTCAATCAACCTCACATTGCTGCAGGCTGTTTCTACAGTGCTTCTTTCTTTAACAGCTGTTTAAGGAATTATTGCTCCTTTTTTATCAGGAAATCTCTTGCTTTTTGTGAGAATTTGGAAAAAAATATCTTTCTAAATTCCATTATGTGTTAGCACAAGACTTTCAAATTCAGTCTCTGGCCAAGGGCAGAGGTTAACTTTTAGCCATTTTAAATAAGGGAAGAGGATCTGCCGCTCAGGAGACTTCATTGTTTGTTACTATGTAATGCTTACCTCTTTAAGCTCCTGTGACATACAATGGCTATACTACAAAAGCGTGCAGACATAAGAGCTTGAATCATCTGGTAATAGATTAGCCATATGCGTTGATAACCACACAGAGGTCAGTCCTAATTAGGGTGTAGTAGTTTGATGTTCTACTGTATTTAGGTGCCTGAAAGTGTAGATAGACATAAGGTGATATGTACATAAGTGCGTCAGGTCTGAAATGATTGGCTCTTGAAAAGCCTGTAAAATATCTTTAAAAATCTACCCGTGAAAGACTTAATTTTGTATTTTTGGTTCATTTAGTCTCTTTGCAGTTTGAGTATGGTAATTGTGTCATATACTACATAACGTTTTAGAGATTCTTGAAAAATCCCTGGAAAAAAAAGCTGGCCGTAACTATGGACCTGCAGGGAACAAAAAGTTGGTTTATTTTATTGATGATATGAACATGCCAGAAGTGGACATGTATGGAACAGTTCAACCCCACACACTGATTCGACAGCATATAGATTATGGCCATTGGTAAGCTTTTATTGTTTTTTATGCTAAATCATCATGTGATAATTATGGGCTAATATTAATAACTATTATTCCATGCCAAAATATATGTATAAAAAAGAACTAGCACAAATTTAAAATAATAAACTCTTTTTAATTTTATATCTATTAAATATCAAAACATGTTTCTGCTCTATAGTACCAGGCTTGGGAAATGCAGGAAATAGGAGAGAGTCTCTTCTTAACCCTAGGAAATTTAGGATTGAATTTTGCCCTGAAATGTAAGATTTAAAAAATATATTTTCTTGTTAAAGTAACTATAGATTGTATTCTTGTTGTTCATAGACTGTTGCTTTAATACAATCCTAATAAGTTCTTTCCATTTATAATATATTGTGGATATAAGTTCCATAGCACTATTACCATAAATAATACAGATTATTTTTAGCTTTTTCAGTAGAAGGCTAACTTGAATTCTTGTGACCTCTACACTCAGTCCTACTTCTCTATTAGCTATAGTACTCATTGAAGTTGTTTTAATAAATTCTGTGTTGAGTTCTATGGAAATATGAAACATACGTTCAACCCTTGAATAATACTTATCTCTTTGTATTATGGGGTGCCCAAGATTTCAGTTGTAGACCCACCCCTCCACTCCCCAGTGTGCTAGGTGCTATATGAAATAGCACAAAAAATAGTCATTGCCAAAATAAATTCATTTTGTCTACTGGGAGTATGTTAAAAGTCCAAAATAAAGAAATAGCCTATGTCGTCTCACTCTGTGCCTTTAGAAACTCTTTCCTGAGTCCCATTAGGAAAGGCTTAGTTTTGCCTTCTACTTTCTTCATGTGATAGGGTAAAATACATTAACTGTATTTTATCACATCATGGAAATACTCTTGTATCTGACTTGGTGGTAAGAGAGCAAACAAATGAACAAACATCCATCTAAAAACCCACTGCCGAGGTAGGGACACTTACATACTCATGTGCACACATGACCACACATGCTTTGACAGCACTGGAAGTTAATGTGCCTGCTCAACTCCTTTCTTTCACCACGTATTCCATTTTTCATAGTTTAAATAGAGGTTAATGGTTTGTTCAACTGAGCTGTATAGCACAGAAGAAGCTAGTACCCTTCTTTGTCTGTCTTTTCCATGCAAAGACATCATCATTGCTGGAGCTAGGAAAAGACATAAGTTTAATCTAAAAAATATACATCACTTTTTAGTTGCTCATGCTTCCTCCTAAAAGAATGATACCAGATGTCCACTGAATATTGTTAGGGCACAAGACAAAAAGAGAAGAAAGGAAGTGACTGCTTCAATATGAGGCATCTCTATAATTCGGTGGAAACCTCCAGCTCCAATCAAAGTGATGCAAAGCTAACATAACTCAGTTCCTGTCTCTTTTACCATTCCTCTGGCTATAACCTGTCTTGGTTTTTTCTTCTTTTTTTAAAATGAGTATCCCAAATCTCCACAACATCTAAAACTATTCAGGTAGTTTAGTTTAAAAGTTTGGACATTTAAATTTGATAAATTAATTGTAAACCAGAACATAGTTAACTGAGTCCTGATTAATGCACTTAATCTCCATGCTTATTTTTAAGCGCTGGAGTAATACTATGAACTTCAGTGTGACTACTTGTACTTAAAGTTAGGTATGTGTGTTAGCCCTTACAGAATGAGACTTTTGAGAGAGAGAGAGAGAATATACAATACTGTGATATAGATGCAATTTATCATGGTAATATGACCACCATTCATTGTGTGCATGGTTTTTTGTCATTTTATAATAGTTTTGTATTGTTTTATTTTAATATAAATATTGTGCTGCTTATAATACAGAAAATGATCATATACTTAGCTAGTAAGATGCAGAGAGATTTGTGACCACATTTTCAAAATCAGTCTCTGACTTTGGGTGTTTCTGTTTTTTGAGTGCCTTACTTCAGCTAGGTAGGGTTTGAGTTTGAAGAAGTGTTGAACAATCTGTATCTCGCATTGACTTTTCATTTAAAAAAACAAGACCCTACATTTCTGAATCTAGGCAACCAAAATATTATGGGCATTTTGGGGAGGGGGGAGTTCATTCCAGGTATAAAAAGAGTCATTTGCGGAGTGCCAGAAGGTGTAACCAGGTTCCCTGAATCATATTTCTCATACCTGATCCATTATAGTGGTGCCCATGACTTACGTTCACCAAGTTATAGTTCCAAATCACACCTTATTTCTGTAGGTTTCAGTCTTTCAAATATGCTTTGATGCCTGTTTACATGCTGCCCCTATACTCGGAACAACTTTCCTTTCCTGTGTGCCAAACCTATCTTTGGTGCTCTCTCTCATTGACAAAAGCTGCTAATTTAACTTAGCTATGTCTACTATGCCTCTGCATTCCCACACTCATTTGTTCTCCTTAACTATATTGTGTTTGTACAAGGTAGTCAGCAGCTGGAATGGTCTATATTGTAAAGAGCTATGCTAGAGCTTGTTAAGCTTTTTCTGTCAAAAAAAGCTGTTCTGTAGTAATCAGAACATTTTATTGGAACACAGTGTGCTGATTTTGACAGGATTTCCAGTGGATAGGTTTTAAAAAAAACTTTAAATCAAAATGGAGCATTTCATTCTACTTTTCTGTTTCATTTTGGCTATTGTACTGCACTATGTTCTAATGTTCCAACATTATCAAAACATTTTAATAAGGCTGTCTTAATGGTTCCAAATTGAAATTTGTCAAAATTTCTATATTTTGCTAAAGTCCAACTTTCATTCAGATTTGGAGCAAAAAGTAAAAAGGCAAGAATTTCCTGCCAAAAGCAGTGCTTTTTCCAACTATCTGTTAGGTGTGCATATTTGCGATGCTTTGTCATGAATTAAGTTAATTATTTATTATTATTGTACATTCAAGATATATTTTCTGTACCTTAGGTACGATAGGCAGAAGTTAACTGTCAAAGAATTACATAATTGCCAATATGTTGCTTGTATGAATCCAACTGCTGGCAGTTTCACTATCAACCCTCGACTTCAGGTATGATTTTGAGTGCTGTATTATAGTAACCCTGTATTTGTTATTTAATGCATTAGCTATGATAATTTAGTTAGCTTCCCATCGCAGCAGACTTAAGGACATAGACTGCTTGCACACGTTAAAAAAATGTGCTTTACCAGAAGCAGCAGCATGTTACTTCAAACTATTTCTATCACGTCTGCATATACTGGGCGCTTGAGTGGGGCCTTTTGACACTTTTATCTAAAGCTGAGTCAATCAGCTATTAGATAAAAGCACCAGAAAAGCCCCACTAAGGCTCCTGATCTATTCAGACATTGGGTGAGCCAAGATAAAATAATGTGCTGCTACTTCCTTCTCATCCAGAACTTACAGTAAGTAACAGGAGCTTTATACTTGAGATTGGGTATTATATCGAAGCTGTAACCAAGTCCTGAGCCTGCTGCTCCAGTAACACAAAGGAAGCAGAAAGCAACCAGATTTTCCCTGGTATGGGACATTTCTTTCACATTTACATCAGTTGCAGTCTCCTGAAGTCCCTGGCATGGAGAGTAGGAAGGGACTGCAGTTGAAGCATACTGCTATTCTTCCCTAGTGGTTGGGACATAATTAGTCGCAGCTAGACCACCCTGGCTGGCAACTATTAGCCTGCACCAATGCTAAAGCTGTGGCATAGAACCAATTTCTGTGGCACAGACCAGTCTGCCCCCTAACCTTGCTGCATACATACTCATCCCTTGATTATTGATTCTTATGTTCTCTTAGACTCATAATCAAACCATTTACAATTGTCTTTTTCATTTCCAGAGACATTTCACAGTGTTTGCCCTCAACTTCCCATCTGCTGATGCCCTGAACACCATCTACAGCAAAGTCCTTGGTTTCCACTTCCAGCAGCATACCTTTAATCCATCAGTGTTGAAGAATGCCCCAGCCATCATAAGGGCAGCAATATGGCTTCATCAGACAATGGTTCAGAATTTTCTACCAACTGCTATTAAATTCCATTACATCTTTAACCTGAGAGACCTTTCTAACGTCTTCCAGGTCTGTATCAAAAACTGGCTTTCATTCTGGCATAATTAAGCTTATTACAGTAAATCTATGGACCAACCAAGAACAGGGCCCATTTATGCTAGATAGTACACAAACAGTATTCTGTACAGACAGTCCCTTTCTTGTAGAGTTTAAAATGAAATAGTCAAGACATTAAGAAAGAGAAAGGGATGTAGCACAAGCAGAGTAATGGTGCACAGATATCATGCTAATGCCATGTATTTGGGAGTGGGGGAGCAGAAGACAAGCTTTTTTGGAGGAAATGAGTCAATGGGCACATCTGCATGTGAAATTACATCGCTGTAGCAACACGATACAGCGATGTAGCATCTGTGGGCAAAAACTGATGCTGCCGCTATGTCACCATAGCAGTGCACTCCCTCAGTATAATGTGTTGCTATGTGCAGCTAAAAATAACCGTGCCCTGCCTTTTGGAAGTACTGCACCATCATTTAGTAACACCAGTGCCGTAGGGGCACATGTAGACTCACCCTATGAAGGGTAGGTGGAGCAAAACTGTGGTACAACTCTCTGCAGTACAAAGCAGCACTATGCTGAGACACTGAGCAGGTGCAGAGCATTGCCATGTGCTACATAAATATGAGTATCTCTTGTCCGTGTAGTGTTGTTGTACCAGCCTCCTTGGCTGGGAGGGAGAGTATTCTGCAGTAGCCAGGTGTGCCCACGTACCCAGTCTGGAACAGCAGCTGGCTACTGAAACTTGTTAACATACGAAGTGGGTGCAGATCAATTTTGAACTGAATATCTTTTCCCTTTGTCTGTGCTTTCCAGTCTGACATAATATACACACTTTTTCAGTCTTTTCTCTTAACAGGTGATTTTTCTTCAGGAAATACAATTCTGAGAGGCAGTTATTTTTACCGAATACAGGTGGACTTCCTGTATTTTGCAAAAGCACAGGGTAGGGTTTATCTACTGAAATGATAGCAGAAGTGGGGGAGAGACCAGAAAAAAACTCTGACGTCTGCCTGGGTTCATGAGGAAAAATATTTCAGCATGGCAAACTTAAATATTTTTTCTGCTTCCTGAAACAATTCATGTAGAGCATTTGATGGTAGAATCATTTTCATTTAAGGGGCTCGAGGATGGAGTTTAGAAAAGTTAAATGAAAAGTAGGAAAGGGGTGAGTAATGCTGAACATTTTGAGGAAAACCTCATTAATCCAGCTTTCTGTAAACCTCAGACTTCAGATCTGCACAGGAAATAGATTTTTTCTGTTTTCTCTTCACTGCAACTCAGACTAGCAAGTTTCAGCTGCTAGACTGAGGCTAGACTGAGGTCTAGTATTTGTGATATACAGTATAGAAGACATCAGTATTTTTAATATAATTTTTTCAGACATTTGATTGCCTCAGTTATTTGCTAATCTGAGCAACTCTGATACAGGTAGGAGAATTTAGAAACCCACATACAGTTTTACAAGTTTCCCAATCAATTAGTTGCATCAATATATGAGGAAAAAATTAAAAGAAAGTGAAGTATGAGAAAGACAACACAAGTATAGAGAAATAAGGGGACTTGTGTTTAGGAAGAAAAGAGCAAGTCTTACTGGCCTTCTAAAGACTCATTTAACTTGCTACTGAATAGCAAAATATTTGACAAAGTGGCGTTGTTATTGCTTTCAGGGAATTTTATTTGCTACACCTGAATGTTTAAAGCAGCCAAATGATCTCATACGTCTTTGGCTTCATGAATCTTCACGTGTTTATGGAGATAAACTGGTAGAAACAAAAGATTGCAGCTCTTTTCATAAAAGGCTCATGGACACTGCACACAAGTATTTTGAGGTATGGATATCTCCTGGAAATATTTTCTGCAATGTTAATAAATTAGAAGCTTTTCAGTGATATGTTAAGCTTCGTAGAAAAGACAAAAAGATCCATAATATAGCCCAAGAAGTTGCCCGAAGTAAATATGCTGATTTAGTACATCCCCTTTAATCTTATCTGTTAGCATCTGATAAAATGCTAACCTTATCTGAGAAGATGCTAATCGTATCTGTTAGCATCTTTTCTGCTGAGGGAAAGAAAGTACTAGCTTGATAGAAAGGAGGTATACCAGCTTATTCAGATTCAAAGTAGGCAAGCTATTTTCAGTTTGAGGTTATAATTTGCAAAGGTGGTAATTTTCCTTCTTGATGATAGTTCTCATTTCAATGTTTGATTAGCTGTGAGAATTTTCAAGTATCTGCCGCAATGTTGTTAGCAACTTAAAGCAAACATTTAAATCTTCCCTTAAAATGGAGGCAATGACCTTGTTACAGTCATAAATCTCCATGTACTTAAAGTCGGGGAGGATTGGCATTAGTTTTCCTTTCCCAGAATAGTTTCAGTTGATTAATAATGCACATGCAGCTACTTAATTCAATAAAAATGTTTTTCTTAATTCATTTCGTGATTACAGAATGTAATCATGCATCAGATTACTATAACAGTATATGATTTTGACATTTGAGGAGCAAAAGTAGTAAAAATAAGGGCACTGTAACAGAAAATAAACAATGATTAGATGAACCAAGTTTACAAATAAATACAGATAAAGGTTTCACATGAAACCATCTGGAGTAAACTCTTATCTGATTTACAGTAACGTTCCAAGGGATGTACACTAGAGTAAAATATGGTTCTCTACCTTTATTCCCTTAATAATTTCTTTAACTACACTTTCATGAAACTTTGACCCCTACCACATGTTATACAACTGAAGACATGATTAACATGTAGCCCAGGCATCCATTAAAGCAGTTTATGACATCCTAAAGCTAGGAATAGGCCATGAAGTTATTCCACAAAAAAGTGGCTGGTTCCTATCATGCCATGAATTGAATGTGTGGCCAGATGCACCCCCATGCTGAGCCCGTGCAGCTTGGAACCTGGATCACCAGATGGGACTCCCAGCCAGGGGAGCTCATGATGTACCACTACAGCTGGGAGCCCAGATACACTGGTGGGATTCCCAGCTGCAGGAGTTTGTTACTTGCTATGCAGAATGAGCCTTATTGCCTTCACTGGCAAAAAGGCATGATGGTGTCTGCTCAATCCCAGAGATATACCTCTTCCCATGCGCAAGTGAATCACGCATCAGTTCCCACCATGCCTTTATCAGCATGTCTGGCAGGGGCCTTTATTACAACTTTATCTCCCTTTGCTTACTATAGTATGTACAATTAATATACTGCTAGTGCTATCAACTGAATGCAGAAATGGTACTAAGAATGCCATGGAACATAATCTGGAATTTCATACTGGCTGCTGTAAGGATTTTGTAAAATTAGCGGTCTCTTGACACCAGTATCAAAGTGTGAATTAACTAATAAAAGCTGTGTTAATGACCTTCTATTTATCTGCCAGAACATCTTTTACTCCAAAATATACTTATTCTCCATCAGGCAAGGCACTGGGACTATCAGCTGGCATCCATCTGTAGAAATTGCACATTTCATGAAAAAAGTCATGGTTTTGTTTTTTTTATTTTATTTTATTTTTTAGCAAGACTATGGAAATTTTCAATTTGACAAAAAAAAAAACCCTGAACATTTTAAATTTATTTTTTCCCCTGAACCCTTCCATGAAACCCTGCATCTTTCTGCACTGTTGAACTGGTCATTAAATGTAGAATATTCCCTTTGCCTTTAACAACTTTGCTTTTTTTTTCTCCCCCCTTTTCCTCTCCCTCAATTTGTTAGGGTATAGAAGATCATGTGCTACTCCAGCTCCCTCTCATTTATTGCCATTTTGCAAATGGGATTGCAGACCCTCTGTACATGCCTGTCAAGAAATGGGAAGTTCTGAGGAAGATGCTTACAGAGACCCTTGAAAGCTACAATGAGATGTATGCTTCTATGAATCTAGTTTTATTTGAGGATGCTATGCAGCATGTGTAAGTAGAATTATGAAGTCCCATAGGGAATGAACCTATTTATGCACAAGCCATATAGTCAGGGTTGGATGAAATGATGACATCAAGGAATTATTTAATAAGAAATTTGTTTTTGCTACTCGGAAGCACCTGCATTCTGCAGTTGTGCTTATACTCAACATGCTTCACTGTTACCATAAAGGAGGTGTGGGTTGCAAGTATGTAGTTAAGGCTGAGTCCCCCTTTTACACATTGAGCAGGAATTTCTCTGTGAGGCATGAGAAATAGAGCACTGCCAACCCACATTTACAGTGTTTACTCACCGAGCACAGAATGATTTTTCTGGGAACCCACAAGAAAATCCATGCAGGTGATTAGGTTATTAATTAAATTGGATTCTTTCAGGAATTGAATGTCATCCTTGTCATGCAGGAAGAGGAGACATGTGGGGAAAAAAATCCAGTCAGAATGATTACAAGTTTGAAATTTGACAGACAGTCTTTAAAACAATTAAAAAATATTTTTATGTTATTTTTTTCTCCCTGTGTTAGTAGATTTGCCTAGACTATTTTTGGCTGTCCATTTTTATCTTAACTCTTAAGGGAACTGAGTTTTTAGCATAAAAGTAGCAAAATACTTTCAACTGCATCATTGTGAGGCTAAGTCATAGCTGCCCTTATCCAGATTCCCTTTGGACATAAATGGGAACTGCTCCAGCTTCAGTTGACAATTTGGTTTGTTTTCTGAAATCATCAATTTACACTGTTTAGTGACCACTTGAGCTCTTTCTTTTGTGGCAAACATTTTCTTTTTTGAAGGTATAAATTAAAGCTTGGAGTTCAGAAGGTCTCCAGGAACAGATTCTACATCAAAGTTTAGTTAAACTCTGGGTCATTTTAGTGTAGGCCTCCTGGGCATTTATACACACACATTTTCATGTTCCATCACGTGCAGTTGTATAAGCAGCAAAATGCATGTCAGCGCGCAGAAAATGGCAGCGGTGTGTTTTTAAACTAAAACACCTTCAATGTGTTTTAGTTCAAAAGCATGCCACTGCTATTTTCTCAGCACTGATGTGCGCTTTGCTGTTTATACAAATGTATGTGCCGCAGTGCCGGGCACCGTGGCACAAACGTGTACAAATGCTCCCTTATACGAAGTGCTGATGTGCTCTTAGAATGTGATCAATGCCCATTAAAGTTAATGGGAGTCTTTCCACTGATTATAACTTAGTATTGATCGAACCTTTCAAGTCATGTTTAACAACAGGTTATCATAGAACTTGTACATCCTGTAAAATCAGGTAGAGGAATGTTGCAGCATCTGAGGAGTTGTATGCCTACACTGCAGTGATAATATGCTGCAATTGGGGCGCAGCTGAACACCCCCTGCCCACCTGATCACACTGTGATATGTTCCACATCTGTAAAAATGCCAGTGAGGCCGCTCTGGGACATCCTTCTGTGGCTCTTCTTGAGACCAGGTCCTACTTGTGCTGCACTTCAGAGCAGCTATTATGGATGAATCTACAGGAGCAGCCTGCATTTCTGGGTTTGGAGTATGATGATGGGCACAGCCTGCATGGAGCTGCCCAAGTGTAGATGTGCTCCATGGCCCCTGACACATGTTACACTTCACAATTAACTGGTTAATTACATCTTAAGTAATAATCTGGCCACATGTTCATTCAATTAATGGTGTGATAAAACCAGGAATTAGAGACAGAATTATTACACAAAATATGTGTAATAACTTTTTAGCTGGTTCCTAACATGCCTTTAATTAAACATATGGCCAGTGCTCCCGAGTTCAGAGCACACTCCTATGTGCTCCAGACGCTGGGAGCACCACTCAGCTAATCAGAGCTCCCAAGTGCGGGAGGACAATGAGCTCCTCTGGCTGGGATCCCCAGTCACTGATGGAGGTCCCAGCCACAAGAGTGCATAATGTACCCCCATGGCTGGGAGCTCTGATCAGACAGGTCCCAGCTGTGGGAGGTCATGGTGCACCCCTACAGCTGAGAGTTCCCAGCCACAGGAGTGAAGACAGCTGGTGCATCAGCACTGGCAATATGGTGTGATGGGTTCTGATGTTCAATCCCATACTTGCATCACCTCCTATCATGCATGTGTGGCAGACAGGAAGCACAGTTGTTGCGATTGCACATCAGATCCCATTGCACCTTCTTTTTAATATTTGTCAGTAGCTTAAGATACTTTGACAAGGAGTATTAATCTGTATGTTCTAATTTTGGAAAATTGCCAGCATGAAGATGAGATGAGGGTAGCACATCTTGAGATGTCAGGACAACTTTAACATTGTAAAAAATTCAAATTCAGAGCAATCCAGAAAAGTTAGAGAAATTGGGTTAATACAGTGCTTGCATTCTACATTATATAATTCCTTTTTTCATCATCAGGTGCCGTATCAGCCGTATCTTAGAAGCAACTCGGGGTTATGCACTTCTGATTGGAGTGGGTGGTAGTGGAAAACAGAGCTTGTCTAGGCTGGCAGCATACATCTGTTCCCTTGAGGTGTTCCAGATCACTCTGAAGAAAGGCTATGGGATCCAGGACCTGAAGGTAAACTAACAGATATTATTTAACTCTTTTGGAAAAGCATGACTTCAGGAAGGCACTCTAGTTATTACATAGGCTTAACAAGAGTGCAGATGGGGCGGTATAATTTACATCATCTGAAATATATATATTTATATATTCAGTATTAGGTAATTTCCCTTAAAATGCTTGTCAATCTCCCTTCCCCCCCACCTCTGATACCAGTTTTGTAAGATGCATAGATTTGTGTGAAATTATAGTAAAAAATTTATCCCTTGCATTATCAGTTTTAATTGTCAGTTTTAAGCTGATTAATTAATTAGATAAAACTATTACTATGAGGCTCACAAGGCAAAATTAGGTCTGAACAGCATGTAAGGAAACAAATTGCTGCAAGGTAAGCAGGGGTGTGAGCTTAGCATGGCAGCTACTTTGCAATAATTGCCTATCTGCATGCTCTTACACACCAGTAAATACAAGAAAACTTACTTGATTTTCCCTTGCCATTACAGTAGGGCTAGGGTTGTGTACAGACAGTTACCATCACAAAGCAACTAGCACATTCTAAGTTCACACTTTAGTTTATCTAATTCTAACGTATTCATGTGCCTATGCCCTGTCACTGGAGACTGCTCATATGTTCAAAGTTAAGCAAGTGCTTATGTGATGTGCTGGACCAGGTCCACAGTGCACAGGACCTCAGTGAATTGATTCCTATGCACATCAGTTGTGGAAGAGCTGTGTGGAACTTCTCCCCCATATACTTTCCAGGCAGGAAGCAGAGGTGCCAAACCTAGCTGTCAAAAAGCCAAATAAGGGTCTGTGTATGAACCTCACTTGATGCATGATGACCCAAGATGCAATTTCTGCCAGCTTATTCAAGCTACCAAAGAATATACTACATTGAATATCAGTTGTTAGCAGGAGATACATATGTAATGCATTACACCTTCAGCACATACAATAAATAATAGATGCAGCAGATTTTTGCTTATAGTAAATAATATGCTTACATTTCAACTCTACTTTTCCTCTCTGTGAAAAACACTAATTTGCAACCATGTGGAAGATAAGGGGGGCAGAGACATTGACTTTGCAAAAGCAAAACTTGGCCCTCATAGAGTTTCTGCCACATAACAATCTTAGTAAAATATTCTAGTTAGGGGTAGTTCTGGCGATAGAGCCTTTTATATTTTTGTGTTCTTCAGTTTTGTATTGTGGGAATGTACGATAGCTTTGTGTCCTGAAGCTTTCATCATCTCCTTGTGTTACCCCCAAGTTCTACAGTTAGTTTGAAGTTTCATAGTTTCATGGTGCTCAGGGTCAAAAGTGACTTAAACAGATCATCAGGTCCAACCCTCTGCCCCGTTTGATTCAAAAGACAGTGGCTTCAAATGAAAATGAAGCTATAGAAGCAGATCCTCTTCCCAGTTTAAGGACAACAAGGGAGGAAGGAATCCACTAACCTTTTTCAGTTCCTCTTACTGGACTAGGTTGCAGACTTCATATAAATTCGCATTGGCCATTCTCTGTATCGTAAATGGAGTAAAAATGTACATGTAGTCAATGGCTTCTTTTTAAATTATTTATTCACTGGTGCTAGTCACTGTGTTAGTACACTGTTTAGCATAGTGATGCCCCAGTCCATAACTGGGGAGCAACAATACAAATAATAAATACTAATAATACTTTCCTCTCTTAATGAGTTCATTTAGGGTGGCCCATACAACATAAGGAATAAGAAAACAAACCAAAAAGATGAACTTGTCTTTCCAGTGTGATGCCTAGATATTATGAACATGTTCCTGAAAGGGAGTTACTTGACAGAGGAGTTAAAATATCAGTTTTACTATATTGCAAGGGAGTTCTTTTTTGATAAGCAGCTTGCTTTCATCTTCAGTACGTGGTTTTGTCAATTGCAGTTCTTGTCAGCAGTTTAAAAAAATGGAAGTAACCTATTTTTTGCCTTTAGCTGTGATTTGGCAAGTTAAAGAGATGTAAATAAATTGAAAGAAGCAGGTAGAGTCAACGATGTATTGCCATCAAATTGCATGCATTTCATGGGTTTTTTTCTGTATCAACATTTTAACAAAACATGAATGATTGCCTCTTTTTCTTATAGGTAGATCTTGCCAATTTGTACATCAAGACTGGAGCCAAGAACATGCCCACTGTGTTTTTGCTGACAGATGCCCAGGTTCCAGATGAACACTTTCTTGTGCTGATTAATGACTTGTTGGCATCAGGTGATTAGACCAACACATTTCTTGAAAGTTCTTCCCTAGTGACAAATGATCTGTGGTTTCAGTGAACTTTAAAGAGAGATTATTTGTCTTTGAGGTGTTTGTAGGGGGAGTCTTTTGGGAAAAGCCACATAAACACAGCTAACTTGAGTTTTGTATCTAGTGTGCTTAAAAAGCAAAGTCCCCTGAGAAAGCTTAATAACAAGGTCATGCAATTCATTTGTGCACCTGATTCTCCTCTCTACTTAATGCCACTTTTACACTGGCCTAATTCTTTTGACTTAAGTGGATTCATTCATGATTACAGTAATGCTGTGGTTTTAAAACTGTGTTCTGTGGAACCCTAGGGTTCCACAATAGGTCATCAAGGGATCCTCAGAGAGAGTGGGGAGATAATGGTGGAGTGGGCCAGGAGGTGGTGCATTGCTATTGCCAGGATGGGCCACCTAGCTCATCCTCAACTCACATGGTAGGGTTCAGGGTTTCATGGCAGAAGCAGTAAAATGAAAGGGTTCCATGACTTGGGCAAGTTTGAAAATCACTGCATAAGGAGGAGAATTGGGCTCTGAACGTTAGATGACTCTGAATGTGGGTGACACAGACAGGTGCAGGAGGTGTTTTGACTGTTTTCTTTGGCTAGGTGGGAAGGAAGCACTGGAGGTCTTGTAACATGGTACAACAGTCTGGGGAAAAGCTGAGAACAAGTGATCCTCAGAAATTAGAAATGCTAAATGCAAAGTAGGTTTTCCTCTCTCAAAAAGAAAATTCTCTCTGCAGAAAATAAATGTTTGAGTAGCACTAGCTAATTTTTTTTGTTGTTGCTGTGTATCATTTACATTATCATAATGCCTAAGAACTCGCTCTTTTTGGAACAGACCTGCATTGTGCTATACAGTAAAACTGTGATGCATTTTAGTTAGTTGCTCAGACTCTCTTTTTGGGGTCTCTCCTGATGCTTCTTATTTTGTCTGTATGCAGGGGAAGTTCCAGATCTGTTCAGTGATGAAGATATAGATGGCATAATTGCAGGAATTAGGAATGAGGTGAGAGGTCTGGGTCTGATTGACACCAGAGAAAATTGCTGGAGGTTCTTCTTGGATAGAGTGCGACTACAGTTAAAAGTAAGAAAAATGACTACATGTAAGAGAAATTATTTAAATCCAACTGCTGGCACTAGAGAATTGAATTATTTCCATGTACTATGTAGTATATTTAGAATTTGTTATTTCTTTATACATGAAACTGCACATAAAGATGTACATTTGACTCAGGTATTGACAGTGAGCTTATAAAGTGTTTCTAATGCAGATGGATCCCAAAGTAATGGGCCTAATTCTTCCATGTGACTGTCCTGTTGAAGTTAGTGGAAGCCATTGCTCTGTGTGTTGTTGTCCTTTGCAGACGAAGACGACCGCATTCAGTGGGGGGGGGAAGGGGGGAGGGAAGAACAGAGAAAAGAAGTGGAAAATAAAAAGGGGAGGGAGAAAAGAGAAAGGAGAGAGAAAGTAAAAAGGAGACAGAGAAAAGAAAGAGAAAGAAGGGGTTGGGGGCTATGTTACATGGGTACATAGGTGGTTTATAAGCCCGATCTTTGCCTTGAACAGTATGCTGCAGGAGAGCAATGAGAACTGGGTATGAGAGGTTTTCATTTTCTTGTTTCTTCATTGCTTCTTCATTGCACATTTCTTCAACACGTTTCTTCATTGCTTCTGCCGTGCATTCCTCTTCAAAGATCAATGTGCTATTCTGGATTGATGACCTCCAGGATGGACAGTAGTGAGCGATTTACTCCCATAACCCCAGTTCAATGCCAAAACTCTTTAGGGTGTCTTTGTACCACTTCTTTATGCACCATCAATGCGTACTCCATTTAACAGTTCACCATAGAAGATTTTCTTTGGCAGGCAACTTCAGGCATTCTTGAAAAGTGGCTAGCCCATTTCAGCTGCCCCAGTTTCAGTAGGCTGACGAGAGTAGGTCCATGGACCATTGCATGTCAGCCTGTGAGCCTGCACATAACAGTCGTCAACAAAGAGAAAGTTGCAAAGCGTGGCTGTCTGGACTTCAGAGCTCACTTGGAGCCTCCTCAGGTTGATGATGTCTTTGTCAAAATAGTACCTGATCCCCATACCAAGGTCATTGTCTTGGAAGGCATCCACCAGCATGGCAGAGAATACCTAGAATACCATGCTGAAGAGAGTATGTGCAAGCACACAGCCCTGCTTGATGCCATTTGTGACCATAACAGGGTCAGAGCATTTGCCATTCGCAAGGACATGTGCCATCATGCCGTCATGGAACTATTGAACCATGTTGATGAATTTTCCGGGGCATCTGTACTTCATTATTTCCCAGAGGCCTTCACCATGTTGAAGGCTTTGGCTAGGTAGGGCAAGGTCACCTTCCAGGACAAGGGAGGACTCGGGGACCTCCCATGCTGTCCAGCCAAGGGGTTGCACCAAGGTGGTCAAGGGCCCCAAGGCCCGCTGCACCAAGGTCCCCACCCCACTGGAGCTTTGCAACAGGTATGAACCTCTTGCAGCCCCAGCAGAGCCTGCTAAGCTGCCAGCTCCAGTAGGCAGCACAGGCTCAACTGATTTGTAGACCTCAGCTGGAAACACATCAGCTCCAGGAGCTTTGCCACTAGACATTTGCTGTATGGCCTTTTGGACTTCCATGCTTGTAGATGGAGCTTCAAATGAGGTGTTGATGGTAGTTTGAGGCAGCTTGCATATGGCATCTGTGTTGATGGAGGATGTCCAATTGAGGACGGCACTGAAGTGTTCAACCCATTTCTGGACTATCTGGGCCTTTTCAGTTAGCAGTGTGGTCCCATCAGCAGACAGCAGGGGGGAAGATCCAAGGACCTGTGGACCACAGACAGCCTTTCAGGCATCAAAGAACATTTTTGTGTCCTTTCAGTCAACGTAGTGCTGGATCTCATCTGCTTTGTTCTTCAGCCATGTGTCCTGCATCCCTCACAGCTTGCACTGAATGGTCTTCCATATCAAGCTGTAGGCATGTTGCGTTGATGCAAACTTATCATAGAGGTAAATTCTGTGGAGACATTATTTCTCTTCCAGCAGCTGTTGTATCTCCTCGTCATTTTCATCAAACCAGTCTTGGTGTCTGTGAACACTTGGTCTCAAGGTTTTGAGGGCTGCAGAGTATATAACTTTGTGGAGCTGCTTCCAGTTGGCTTCAGAGTGGAGCAGTGTAGTGTGAAGCTGATCTTTCAGATGGTTCTCAAGAGACAGCCTAGTGTTGTCGTTTATCAGCCCTGTAGTGCTGAGGTGCTTCAATCCACTTCGTCCTTGTGGATGCCATCTAGTTTGAATCATGATCTTTAGTGAGGAGATGATGAGTTGATGATCAGTCCAGCATTCAGCACCACACGTTGCTTTGGTTACATAGACATCACATCTATCCCTCCTTCGGACGATGACATAGTTGATAAGATGCCAGTGCTTGGAGTGGGGGTGCATCCACAATGTCGTCTTCCATTTGGGGAGGCAGAACAGTGTTGGTAACCAGAATCTTATGTTCAGCATGTAATCTGAGCAGGAGAAGACCATTGCTATTGTAGCTTCCAATCCCGTGCTTCCCGATGATGCCATTCCATGCTTGGCAATCAGAGCCAATCCTGGTATTGAAGTTGCCCAGGAGAATGGGATGGTGAGGCTTCAGTACAGCAATGATCATGGAGTGGAGGTCATCATAGAACTGGTTGTTGACTTCGTCAGAGTTGGTCATGGTAAAGGTGTATGCACTGATGATAGTGGCTCACTTTTTGTCAAGCAGAGGGAGCTTGAGCACCATCAGTCGGTCATTTACTTCCTTAGGTAGGTCAACTTCTTGACGAGGCTGTTTTGTATAGCAAAGCGGACACCTGCTGCCCATTTGGCTTCACTGCCATGACCACTCCAAAAGAAAGTGTAGTCAGCTTTTCCTTCTGAGAGTTGCCCTTCACTGGGTAGGCAAATCTCGCTGAGGGCAGCGATCTGGATATTGTATCTGTCCAGTTCTTTCCTGATGAGGGCAGTTCTCCTTTCAGGTCTGTTGGTGTTTCCATCGGTCAGCATACATATGTTCCATGTGCTCCACTTGAGGGGAATGGATTTCTTTCCTTTTCAGCCACTGTAGTGGGACCCCTGCCAGCCATGGGGTGAAGCAGGCGATGTTTGGGGCACCTTTTCTAACCCCTTCCTCACTCAGGGAGGTGAGCAGTGCAATCCTGAATAGGACTGCTCAGTTACTCAGGGGGCTGCCAAGTTCTGCTGCTGCTGCTGTCCAGTAGAAAGTGACCTGATGTCTTGAGTCACCTGTGTGCATGTTTGTGGCTACAGTTTCCAGTGTGTCCACACCTGTTACTTCATTGCTGGCCCATTGCCACAGGGCTAGTGCTGGATGCGAGTTGTGCAGGATTTCTATTTAAGTCAGGAAGAGTTGTGCAGTATCGGCCTTACTCTCACATCCAAGCCAATTGGTAACCAGTGGCAGAACAGTGTCAAGATGGCTGGAGATTGACCCAGATGCAGTGGATGACCAGGACGTCTTTTGTGCCTTGTCCTGCTCTGCGCGTTCCACAGTGCATTGCTGTACCGCCATTGGACTATACGAGGGTCTCATCTGCCCAGTCAGCTGGAGTCAGACTTTGCATGCAGGGGTAGGCATGTCCCTGTCTCCCCAGAGGTCTGAAGGCCAACTGGGTACCCTCACCTGGTTTGGCCCTCCCGTTGAGGCGGTTTGCCAGGATGTGGCTGCTGTCACATGCAGACAGCTACTTGGAAACAGAGGTGAGAACTGAGTGCTGGTGATGACCAACAGAGGAAGAGTCACTAAGGTGAGCGCAACATACACTTTCTCTGGAGGTGCTACTTTTCCTAGACACCCCAGACACCCCCATTGCTCTGTAAGAATTACTATATGGCTTCCCAAAACCCTGTGTACATAATACAGACTACCCATGCTGGGATTTCAGCCTTTGGTACACTGGTATAAACCAAGTCTGCACTTTAGGGCTTTTCTGTATGGGGAAGATACTCTGGTAAAAGAGTTATTCAAGCCAAATCCCATGTGTGGATACCCTTAAGGCACGCTAAGTACGAGCTAGTTTATTCCATTTTCCATTTGAACTTGTGTCTGAAATTCCAGTATAAATATCACTTTTTTCCCCTTCATATGCCTTTGTAATGTAGCTACTTCATAGATCAAATATTACAATTATTTAATACACTATGTAACAGGGCAAGGACAGCCCTGTTCCTTTAGTGTTACAAAGTTGCGAGTAGGGTGTGGGGGGAGGGGCAGGTCAGAGACAGGGCAAGGATAATTACTTAGTAGACACAATTGGGAAAGGGATTGCACCCACGGTGAACGTTGACTGATTGGGAGCCAGGAGCTATTAAAGTCCATGGCAGGGAACAGTTTCTTTGCCCCCTGGTGCATGACATGAGGAGATTCAGCGGCGATGCCAGGAGCGGCAAACTCAGAAACAGGTTGCTGATAAGACCGGCTGACCAGGTGAAGGTAACCACAGCGACCAGTGAAGCAAGGAGGTAAGAAAGAGAGAGACTTACCAAACGGGTCCTCCGGCCGAGAAAAGGTCCCACAGACAAAGGATCCGCTGGTACCTGCGAGAGAGAGAGAAAAAAGAGTGAGATTGGAGTTGAGCTGGCTGACTCAGGGGAGCAGGTTGCACGGTGGTGGAGGACAAAAGGAAGAATGTGAGCTGTGAGAACAGCTGGGGTTCTCCACAAACTGTGGGGAATTCACTAATAAACCAATTTTCTTTTATCCTGTTTCTGGGGTGATTTACTACACCCTCGGATGTAGTATGTCGGATACTAATCTTTCAAGGCTTACAATTATACTGACCCCAGTTTTACACCTCTTCTGAAATAATACATTTATACAGAATAAGTCTCATGCTTCAGAAACAAACTACTGGTAGGGAGGAAGAAAGAGACTTTCAACACTAGATTATGCTATAAGGTTAGGTACAACTATTTGGGGGGATTAGATCAAGTTAAAAATGGCCATCCGATCTAAGATAAATTGGGATGGGAGGGGCGAGCAGAGGGAGGGGGCTGGAGGGGATCAGAGGGGCAAACGGGGTCTG